GGAGCAGGGCGCATTCTTTCGTGGATTTGAGAGTGGATCGTATCTAGCCCCAAGGGGCTTCTTCCGCGCGTCAGACAACTTTTTTGTGACTTTTCCTCTCGTCGTTTCGTTTGTTTTTTGTGGGTTGTTGACTTTTCTTGGTTTTTCCCGTTTTTTCAGGCGCTGGATACCACCCCCCCCCCCCCTTACCTGCGCTCCGCCAAACAGCCGTTCCCGCCGAGAAAAACAATTTCGGAAAAGTGTAGGAAGCAGGAAGAAGTAGGAAGGTGGTAGGTAGGGGAAGAGGGAGGGTGGTCTTACCAATAGAGGAAGTTTGGGGGTCTGCTTTCCAATGAAAACTTCCCAGCAGCGTGAAAGCCCTGTTTTCATTGCGATTTTTTGGTAGTTCTTGGTTGAATAGCAGTCATGTAATGCTCAGTGTTTGAGCTTTCCTGTTGTAAAGTTGAGCCAAATGTTTGTAAGCAGCCATTGGGGTGTAAACGTGGAGGCGTTTATGTTTTTGCTCCACATGAGCCCTCCAAGTGTTTTCCGGTGAATCCGGCCGTTGATATTTCCAGGCGTACCACTTCCTACACGCATTTCAATAAAACCTGATCGAACATACGACTTGGAGATTTGTACACCAACAACCTCATGGCTGTTGAAGCAGGCAGCTGGAATTGCGAGAGGAAAACAGAATCCTGGTACCTTCACATTCAATACACCTGCCTTTGTTTTCTTTTTTCTGCCTGTAGTGTTTTTCTGCCCTTGAAACCTCTATTTCCTTTTGTCATTTACAGGTGACCTGGCAGGAATGATCTCCGTGAAACATGTTTATGAAATAGCAAAAGGTCAAGTCGAGGGACAAAGTTTTACAAGGAGTACCTCTGGAGGTATTTAATTTCAATTTCAGTGCAATTGTGCCTCAGAGCCGGCGTTAGTGCAGTTGTGAGGAAAGGTAGGAGGGCATGCACAACTAAGCCTGTTTTTCTGCCATTTCTCAAAGGAGACAGTGACTTACACCCTCCAGGAGGCTCAACCATAGAGAGCCCAGACGACCATAGTCGGCCTTGCCTTATAATGCTGGTAGCCCTGCCCCATCGTTAACTACACTGGCAACTCAGAGTACAAAACCTACTTATTACCACTCCTAAGAATTTTTACGACTTCCTTGCCCCACCCTCTCCCTGAGGCGATGAGTTGATTACATTTGACCAAATTCAGCATGTAAACAACTAAATTTCAATTGTTTAATTTTAATTTCATAGAGCATTTGCACCTCGCAAAGTGAACTTCTCAATGAACCTGTTTCTGGACTAGTGTTGGGTTCGAGTAAGCATAATCGTTTCTTTTTTGCGATTTGCCTTGGAGAGCTAAATGATTACGACAAACAAAATTGGCCAGCTAGCGAGGGTTTTCTTGGATTCAGTTTGATGATAGCAATATCTAATCAGGGGACACAGCGATTTTCACGTTTCTGCTTTCTTCGAATGCAATGTGGCTGACGTTCTTCAGTTTCTTTTTTTTTCACCCCTTCACCGCAAAGCACCGGGTTCCATTGGCCCCCTACCACTGCAATTTTCGTAATTCAAGCCGAGCTTCGTCAAAAACTTTCCACATGATAGACTTGTCCAAAATTCAGACCCTAGTTGTAGCTGACCCCCCCCCCCCTCATTTTCAAGGCTTTTGTGTCCAAGTAGGTGTGATATTCGTGTTCAGAGGGTCAAGCTACCCATGGGAACAGTTTTCTGGTGGTGTTTGGTTAGACGCTAGGCGATTCCGCTGCAATCCAATATTCATGTTCAGGTGTTCGAGCTAGCCCGAGGGCAGTATTTTAGCTATATCTATTTCCGGAAAAAATTTTTGATCAAAATTTGGCCCGAAATAAGAAAAGCAGGCGGAGGGGATAAATATTGCCATGCGATGTTTCTTATAAAGCCTTATGACATTGCTTTTTTTTTGGTCCGACTACGCCCATAAGAGTAACCGTCATCTGTACTTGAATTGTTTCGTAATGATATTTTTCAGCATGATATGCAGCAGATAGTAAAGCAATGCCGAACGTTAGGCATTCAAGTACAGCGGGAAGATTTGGACCCGGTAGAACTCAAGCAGTTCCTTGATAAACGACGTGAGGCAGTAGCAGAGCAGCTGAAGGCACTTGCGGATAAAAAAGCGGCAAAGATGTTGCGAACTGCTTAGAAGGTGGGCCTTCATTTTGTTGTCAATCCATGATGCCGTCTCATCATTACCTTATTCTTGCCACTTTTACGACTGCTATATTCCTGTTCTTCAGATAAAAGCTCAAACCACGATTACCTCGGATATGGATGCTGCTTTCCCAGATTGAAGCAGTTGAGTCATTGTTTACTGTTGATATTTGGATCGTTTTATGGCCATAGGACTCCTTTGCGTTTTGATGTGTTGAACATTTTCAAGTTTATGTTTTTGTAAAGATTTGTAGTTTTGTAATTATGTTGGATTAAAATAGGTTAGGAAATAGTGTAATTTTAGTAACTTGTCGCCGGCAGTTGTAAGTATAGGAATGTATATGATGCTCTGAAGATGGCTAGTTCGTGGGGTGTAGTTCAACACATTCACGTGTGGTGAAAACACGCTGCAAGAAGGGTCACGTGCGCGGCATTAGCACCAGAATATGTGGCCCCGCTGCAGGGTGGCTGCAGTTGCATTGAAGGCACGTGAGCACGATAGTCCCCACAACGAAGGACTAATACGCCTGGCAGGACGAAATTGCGCGACCCTGAGCAGGCGCTGCATAATGCCTTTTTCCAAGAAGGTGCCCTTATAAGGGCCCTATCAAGCCACAACATACCGACCCAAACGCCCGCCCGCCCACAAATGGACGACCGTTCCTGACGCTCGTATTCATTCATTTGCTAAGCAAATTATGAAGCGAAGGGATTGGTATGAAGCGGCCGTGATGCTGCATGGATATATGAGTACACATATGCAGCCGTACCTTCGGTAGCGGTTATTGGCAAGATGCCTACGGGAAACTCGTCCAAAATTGATTACTAACACAGTGAGAACGGAGGCTCTTTCTTCGCAGGATTTTGACCGTTTCACTCCGTTCTTTCGCCATTTCCCCACTATATAGCGCCCTACTAGCATTTTAGGCCGAGCACCAATCATCGTGCCAACTGCCTTTAACTACTCAGATTAACTAGTAGCTGTTACACCCGGATCATCGCGATGTGGATGTGTCGAACCTTTTCATCTTGTGCGCTTGTGCGATAGTAGGTTACGGCAACTAGAGGTTTCAATGGTTTTCTTTAAGACTAATTGTTGAGGTTTCTATTTCAGCGTTGTTGAAAGCGAAAAAAATTTTTTTATTATGTCTGAATGCATGTAGACGACATGTAAGTGGTATTTGGATTGTGGGTCAAGAAATCCTAGTTTCGGGCATTTGGCATCGCAAGGGACGTTACGTGCACTGGATTTTTACGAGGGTCTAGTTGACTCGAACTTGTTGCATTAAGTCAGCGAGCTAGGGAAATTCGCGCGCTCGTTTGTTACCCATTTTCCCAGCGATCTAAAATGTCTGAACAACAGGAAGCCGCAATACTTGCCAAGTTTGTTGCCAGTTTCTTTTTGTCTTTTTTCTTGGCAGGCACTATTTCTTACGCGGCGAAGGTTCCGCGCACCACTAAGGCAGCATTTGGACTTCGCGATGACGCGCGTCGGCGTGCTACAATTGCAGTAATGCTCTAAGGACGCGGACGCTGCTGCAGACAGCCAGTACTGATCGATAGCGTGCCTGACTATGCAACACCTATCATCCCAATCCCTAATACTTT